ATCTCTCCCAGGGTTCATGAGAAGAGGCCTGGCACATTAGCATTGCTGGGGGAAGGGGAGGGGGAGAACAGGCCTTTTGAAGGGTTGGTGTTTTGGGGCTGAGCGAGGGAAGGGCTCCTGGTGCAGGCCAAGTCGCAAACAAAGGCATTGTGTTCCCTGGAGCCCTGGGGACTGGCCCCGGGGGAAGGCCAGGGCCTCGCTTCACCAGGGATCGGTTTTCTCATCCCAGCTCCTCTTGTTGCTTTAGCACGGGTGCAGCCTTAAGGCCATCCCGTGTCCTTCCAGTGCCCAGAGATAGGAGCAGGGCTGGCACCTCCGGGGTCGGCTCAGCCTGCCCCTGACAGCCAAGAGCCAAGGAGCCCACCGCCGCACGGAGGGCTGCAGCGTTCATGCGGACCGTCCTGTACCGCAGCAACGCACCTTGTCCGCATCGCCCTTTCTAGGTCCCAGACACAAGAGAGGAGCAGATCTGTGTCCACTGACAGTAACTTTCTGGGCTCCGTCTGTGTAGCCACAGGGGAGCCCTGACCTCAGTTTGGGCTCCTGGACAAGCCAGTAACCCCAGCTGTCAGCAGGGCTGGTGCAATATTAATTATCACTCATCGCTGCTTCTCTGTAAAGTGAGTGCCCAGTGCATTAGCATCATTATGGGTGGGGAAACTGAGGCATATCAAGGGCAGTCAGGACTGAAATGCTGGCGTCGTCTGACACTAACCGTCGGGATGCCCTGCCGATTCTGGAGCAGGAAGGCGATCCTGTCCCTGGCTGTCCTCCAGCCCCACTGACCTGGGGATGCAGTGACAGAGCTGCCTTACGCCTGGCACTCATGGCTGCGGGTCCCAGCCTTGCCCTGGACACGGGTTCAGGGGGACAAGCACCATCTTACGGGGCAGGAGCTCTTGCAGAGAGGGCAGCACCTCCGAGGTGGCCTGGCCGCGGGCCCGGCAGGTGCAGCCTCATGATGCCCCATCCCACGGGGTTTGCACGGTTGCCCAAGCCGAGCTGCATTCCTGGCTGTGGCGACAGGGCCGGGCGCAGACCCGCCGCGGGGCAATAGGCGTGAGTACACAGACAGCCGTGCCAGGGCGGCAAGGGTAGCACTGAGTTTCAGTCGGGCCCTGAGCAGATACAGGATCTGCCCTGTCCCTGCCTGGGGAAGGGTGAGGCCATGGGTTTGTGGGAAAATGTTGTTTTTCCCTCCCCTGGACTGCCCCTAGCAGTTGGCTGGGCTGGCTCTGAATTGCGTGGTCCGGGGAAGTGGGGGGGGAGTTAACAATTGTAGTGCCTCTGGCTTGGAGCGGAGCCACGGCAAACAATCCTCTCCTGGCCGCGTTCCAGATCTGACAAAACATGGAGGTGATATCGTATTCGTACCTACACGCTTTCATCCCAAATCACCTCCTGAAAGCCCTGCATGATTCTCCCGTCTGTGATGAATCCCTCTGCTTAGCCACAGAACAAGACAACCCGTCCACAGCGCTGCAGCCAGGAATCCCGTCCAGCATCCCTGTGAGGCCTCTGCTTACAGCTGTGGATCTGGCAGCCAGTGGTGGGACCTGAGGTTAGGAGGTGATGTTGACTGAAGACGTGAGGACAGGGCATTCCAGGCATGCACGGGGTTAAATCAGAGGTGTCAGTTCACGGGGAGGTAACAGATATGTCCTGCTCCTCGCTGCCTCTGGCTTTCCAGAAGCGTTGCCCTCCCTCCCACATTCCAGCTGCTGCAGCTTTTCACAGCTGGCCGTTCTCCGGGGACATTTCCCAGAGCTGAGCAGGAGGGAGGGGAGGGAGCGGCCATGGTCCCAGCATGGGAAGGGGGGTGGTGGCTGGGCTGACTGTCACCCCCCCCAGGGAACCTTGGGTTGGAGCACTTCACACCCAGGAGCGGGCTGGCACAGGCAAACCTGGGCGATCCCAGGTCCCTGGCAGGGATCCACCCTCAGCCCTGGCCTGGAGAGTTTTTCCTGCTGCAGAGAAGGGACATCAATCTTTGCAGCTCACTTATTCCTTGGCCTCCGAAGCAGGGTAGCCAATTAGTGCTGGGTGTGATGGATGGCTTAGCCCCGTCCTCGTGACACCCGTCCTCTGGAAACAGCTCCCACCACGCAGAGGCACAGCCAGCCGTAGTGGGGAACGGCTCTCGCTAGCCTCCAGAGTCCCAGAGGGTCTCACAGGGGTCCCGGGGACGGGGACAGGCACTGCAGCAATGCTTGCTGAGCTCCCAGAGACCGTGCAGGAGAGGAAACAGCCCTGAACGCTGGGCCAGGGTTGATAATTCAGGGCTTGGGGAGAGATTTCCTCTAATAATTCCCTGGCTTGGCTGTGGCAAAGCCCGTAGCTCTCTGGGAAAGAGCAGATGAGCTCTGGGCAGAGGTTGGTCACCCACTGTTTGTGGCTCTGCGCTTGGGGCCAGGCTTTGCCATCGCAAGGAAGTGTACTGTGGGAATAGCTTGCACGGACGCTTGGTGAGAGGCAAGCGGGCAGGAGAAACCCCGTTTCTGCCCTTAGACCCCATCTCCCCTTCCCCGGTATCATCCCTTGTCCGCGGCGGGGGAGGTCTGCCCGCTCTCTCCCACGAGACGTGGGCGATGCTTACTGAAACCTGGCTTCCCCCTCACGCAGCTAAGCCCATTTAATCCTTCCCTGTCGTCTCCATTGAACCGACCTGCGAGGGGTCTCAGCACCGTCTCCGCCTCGGCTGCTCCATGACGCAGCTAATCCTGGGGTGGTTCAGATGGCCCTCGCAATCCCCCAGGGCTCGCTGGGGGCGATTATAAACGACTCTCTAGGAGCACAGGCTGGAAAACGGATCCGATTACAGGAGAAGTGGGTTTTGGGGCCCCCCGCTCTGTTCATAATGAAGTGTAATCCTAGAAAAACATGTTGCCAATTACACTTCAATTGAACCCAGATAATGATGCTTAGACAAGGCCCAGAAAAGACAGAGTCTGGACAGTGAATTCCTTTCTAATGGAGAAGAAAAGTGTTCCTCCCTGGCAGGTCTGGGCTCCGCTTGGGTCAGGCTCATTGTGATATGAGCAAGAGCCTGAAATAACCAAGCTCTGGATCCCATTTAGATGGTTTTATCAGTGGAAAGAGTATTAATCTCTCAAAAACACATGTTTATGGGAAGTTTAGTTTGGAGATGCATGTATTTTTAACTGAAATCACTTTGGAAAGGGAGGAAGAGTGGGTCTCAAAATGACTAAAATAACACATTTCTAATTCTTCTGGTTCAAGGTAACTTTTCAGTTTGAAATGTAAGCTAATAACAGCTCAGTTTCTTTGACCACTTTTTGTAGTGAAAATTAAAACAAAACATGAAAATTATAGAAACAAAGCGCTAAAACCTAAAGCAAATGTTTTATTCTCTTTTTTTTTTTTTGGTTTACAAACACTTCTGAGATGTCAGTTGTCCACTCCAACGCGGGATGGCGGCTGGTTCAGGTCTCCGTTGTTTTACTTTGGGAGGGAGGACGGTGTGGTTCAGTCTCAAGAAACGGTCACGGGGGCCGTGCCTTGCTCAGCCCCCGTGTGCTGGGCTGGGGCAGGCGTGGGTGAAGGGCAGGCGGTAGCTGGCATTTGGCTTTTACGGGAGCCGCTTGCGAGGTGCTGGGGGATTGCAGACGTCTGGGGCTTGGCGGGTGCAGCGTGGGTGAGCTGGCAGAGATGGCTGAGGCAGATAGGGAGCACCCGACCACACGGCTGGGCGCCTCCTCGCACGGGAGATGGGTGGTGGTGTGGCTTGGAAGGCCTGAGCGGCGACGGGCTGTTATCGCTGCCACGGTCTTTGCAAAAGGCTTTGGGAAATCCACGTGTTGCCAGATCTCAGCGCTGATTATTTTTTTCAAAATAAAAGGCATTATTTTTGTACTGTGAAGCTCCACTTCAGCTCTCTCCCTCCTCCCCTCTCTTTCTCCCACACACACACGTTTTTGCTGCCTTGGGGGATTTGAGCAGCGCAGGGCTCTGATAAACAGACTCCTACCTCCTTCCCGCAAGCTCAGGGAAAGCAAGATGCTCCCTAGATGCTGGGCTGCGGGTCAAAGTTTCCAGCGTTATGGAACGAGAAAAGAAAACAGCAATTCATCCTAGTGTCATAAAACCTAAAGTTGGGCTTTGGTCAGTTTGCTTTACAGGGTAGGTCTCAAATGCCCTGGCAGTGCCATGAGCAGGCACTTGAAGACCGTTCCAAGGCTGTGGGAGTGTGGCAGGGGGCTGAGCTCCTGGCGGGACCACCGCGGCATGGTGCTGGGGTGCCGAACCCGTCCCGGCGCCTCCGAGCGTGGTGCCACCTCTGCCTTCCCAGCCCTCGGCCGTGGCCAGTGATTAATCCCAGGCGAGGGCCCTTTGAGCGGCGTCCTCAAACAGCACCGCGCTTCGAATAAGCTGGTTTCCATCTGAATCATAAGTCTCCAAAAGTGCCTGCGCCGCACAGAGCCGGGCAGACATGTGTGTGCGTGTGGGGCTGGATGTTGATTTTTCCCTGAAACAACTCAAGGCTTTATCAGTCCCATCTCTTTCCCACGGTTTTCTGTTGCCAGTGAGGTCACTGGTCCCTTTAAACTGGGGCTGAGGCCAATGTGCAGCGGGTGGAAGGGGGGCCGTGGGGAGAGGGGGCCAGTGGGCAGAAAGGGGGGGA